GCGAAAGCAGAAACGTACTCTCGAAATTTCGTGCGGTGAAATCCTCACTCGAAAATTGGAGTGATGGTCAAGTAACTCAAATTGAAGTGACTTTTCGCTCTCATAGGTTACATTCTTCTACCCTGTGACGTGAGTTCCGTTCGAAAAATAGAGTGACTACCGAATCACTCGAGTCGGAGTGATTTTTCACTTTTTAGTTGCAAAGTTCGTAGTATTATATCCCATCTTGCTGTGTTCCGTGAAATAGGTTCGATAATGGATCAGCTGATATCGTGATACCCAGCAGAGAATTATTTCAGAGGATTATAAAGGATAAGAGAAATAGATGTATAGCGCCAAAGGAATGCACAGTACTAAAAGCAGTAAGCCCTTATTTTTTAAATAATTAATGCAAATAAATCATTTCAGTACCGAGAATTTTCTCGAAATTCTTCATCGTTGTGCTCACTTAATAATTTTTCGAATAAAACATTCGCTCCAATCGCGAGTGAAATGTCACTCCATTCCGAATGACAGTCTTTTCACCATCGCTCAGAGCGAATCCCCGCTCGTTTGGTTTCACTCCGAGAAATTTAGAGAGTATCTTAATCTACGTCCTCCCTTTGTGTATTTATTTTGCACGGATATCGTTACTAGCGCGACGTTGTTCCCCGTGAGGAACTACATCTTCCGATCGCGCCGGGGAACCATCGCGTTTACTTATTTGCGGCGAAGGGCCCGGCGCGACGGTATTTTGGTGCGTTCGTCCTTCCGCGGGGAGCTGCCTCGGCAAACAGACCGCTCCGTCGTGTTTTGAACACACGTTTATCCCGGCATGCCCATTCGTAGGTCTTTTACACGTGTTTCGTGCGGGTCGAGCGACCGTTTAGGTAACAGATCTGTTTGCTCGGAGATCGCCCGAAGATTAGGGTAGCGCGCTTCAGGCGCTATTTACACGCCGATATCAAACGCGTTCCTCGAAACGTCCCGGCTGCGAAACTGCATTCCCGATCGCCGGCTGAAATTTTAGCGACGCGCGCGCGCCCCGGCCGCACTTTGTGTCTTGCATAATCCCGTTGTCGTCGCGGCTCATCCGCACGCATTTCGTCGGCCGGCGAATTAATCGCGCCGTCGCGTATTTATACGACACCCGCGAGGAAACGCGCCACGACGGCTCCGAAATCCGTGTGTGATTTCGGGGAGTTTGATTTCTTTCGCCACTGCGAATGTGGACGCGCAAAGCTCTCGTAACAGAGTTGTGAGCTAAAGCCGATTAGTGCTAATTATTAACAACCAAACAGTTTGTTTTCTGTGTTATTAGAACTATTGCGTTTATTGTTCATATTAGAGTTTTTGTGAGCACGTGGCGTTTACGGAAGAAAGAAGAGTAGAACGGTAATCAGTTGCGTTATCTCGGTAAGATTTAATTTAATTAAGCACTAATTAACTAAATCTAGTTGGTTAGTAAGAGAAAGGAGAGTGAGATGACGACCTAAAGGTTTCTCGATTTCTCTTCATTTTCACAGCGACGTAAAATTTACAATCGATTTTTTCCTGAGTAGCTAAAACCTTACCTATCATCTGCATAAATGGTGAAAAATGTATAAATGAATCAGAATTTTACAGAGAAATTTTTAATTTTTAGTTTTACAAAGAAAGTTAAAGTGGAAGTAGTTTTATAGACATATATTTACTGTAATTGTATAATTCTTTATAAAGAAATACCACAAAATTACGGATGTATCCAAAATACACTTCTTGTTATATTATCTATTGTCGTTGGCAGATTGAAGTCAAACTATAACAGATTATTTATTACTATTATTAAAAGTCTCTAATGAGTTAGGCGCCGACTCGTTACTTGTTATTACACAGAAAAAAAATGCTAGATTCAAGTGAATAACTACTCCAGTAGTCCTTAGCAAAATTTATTTGCTTTAAGTAAATTTTAGACTTAAATCAAATAAATATATTTCCACTTGGATAATTTACTTGGGAAATATTTTATTTGGATCAAGTAAGTATTTAACTAAATCTCTTGTCTTCCGTGTGAGCTGCTATTGCGTTTCAAAAAGAAACACGAATAAAATTATCGTGGAGTCGATCGCCGTCGCGACGAAATTCGCAATTTCTAATTTTTAAGACCCGCTTTACGCGCGAAATTTTCGCGTTTTATTAATTCAGCCCGCTCTTACCTCGAGCACTTTCAAATTTACCTTACGTTAATCGTGGCGTTTGCGTCGTCGCGAATAAATACAGAGATAATTTACGCGCGGTGGCCGCGCTGCAGGTCACGAGATCCGAACTCACCGAAATTACACCGGTTTCAATCCCCGCTACCGGAGCGATAAATAACAGTAATGATTGTGTAAACATACACGGCGCTTCAACGAGAACGCGAGGGAGAAAAAGAGAGAAAGAGAGAGAGACGAGGATCCGCGCGCGCATGCATGATCGCGCGGGCTTCGCGGGCGACGAGATTGATTTACGCGACTTCGCGTCGCGATATTCGTCAATATCAATTTTCCGCGTTGCGGTGCAACGATTTTCGCCACGTTCCCCCCCTCCCTCCCCCTCGTCGAGGATGTGAAGGGACGGCTTCCTACGAATTTATAGCCGAGCTATAAATACGGCCTGCCCCCGGGAGGAACCTGCCAGTCTTCGGGAATATGTTATTCGCGCGATTTTTAGTAGAAAAGAAAAAAAGAAGGAAACAAGTCACGAAACGCATGTCCGACTTGGAGTCACAGTCGGCGGGAACGGGTCGTCGCAGTTGCCGAGTGTCTGAGCTCGCCGATGAGGAGGAGCTGTCAACGGCGACGACAACAACCGAGAGAGGCCGTTTGACACTGTCAACGACCGTTTGGCGCTTGTCCGTCGTCGGCTTCGACGACTTCCTCGATCAGAGCGCGCGAATTACGTTACACTTCGGGCGAATCTACGCCGCGGGACGTATCCGCTTAGAAATATCGCGCCCTCGCACGCCGACAGGTACCCCCGGCTGCCAAAAAAATGTCTCGCATTGACTCGCAGCGCGCGCGGGAAACCGTGATAAACTGCACTACGCGGTGGTGTCATAACTCCGCGCTTGAAATAGCCGCGCGGTCGCGAAACTCCGCGGCGCGGATAGACTCTCTCGATGAACTGTCCCGTTGTCCTTTCTTATCTGGCTGGTTTCGCGCTGTCGATCGCCGCTTCCCGATCTCCCCGCATTTGCAAGAATCCTGTTCGTCACGCTCGGCTGGAAGACTCGCGAAGTGCCGATCCGATGCCGAAATATACGGATTTTGCTTCGTTGCGATGCCCGATAAATATTAAATACCGGAAAAGTTCGCGCGGATTCTTAGGTGAAGATTGGACTCGGAAATTTTGTTGAAAGGTAGTTTCACTCGACGAAGCAGTCGCCGTTGACTTCGACGGCTTCGTTGCTAAGAAGGAAGCCGCACGAACTTTTCCCGGTTTTTTTGTCCAACAGAGGAGCGACTGATAACGTGGGGAAGCAAACAGCTCAATGGTGAAGTGAGAAACTTCTGAATGGAGTCCTCGTCGTCTCGCGCGGCGGAATCGGCGCTAATTCGAAAAGGTCCGTCCTGAGACGCGCTCGAGACCGGTCCGCCGTTGAAATATTGCGGGGTGCTTTCCGTTGCCGCGCATACACGTCGGCTCGAACACATGTGCGCGCACACTTGGCGACTCGGTATCGAGGCGGAGTGACACGCGCGTCTTCGAGCCTCGTAGCAGGCTCCGCGGCACTAAATCAGCCCGAGTTATGCGCCGACTAATTGTGAACCACGTCCCTCCTCCTTGCCGCCCCCGTGGAGACCAAATATAACTAAACGGAGCGAAACTAAACGACTGAGCCGATTAACTTCTCAGCTCCTGCAGCCGCGGTTCACGAGCGCGCGTCTCTCACGTGTGCGTGCGTGTGAGCGGCGGGCGTCGAAAAGAGCGAAAGTCCTTTTCGCCTCTTCTTCGTCGCGTCTACTTCCGTCGGCGGATAAATAGTCGTTGATTTGAGGAGCGCTCACGCCCCACCGAGACGTTACTCTTACTTGGGTGGCGAGGTAACACGCGCTTTATTAATCGTCCTATTCGCGCGAATTATGCATCGCTATTAGCGTCACGTTGCTGCCCGTTTGTCTCCGATTGCGCAAAGTACGGGAAACGTTACGATCCGAATGGGTCCCCAACAGGGGTCTCCCTTGATTTTCGACATTAAAATGTTACGGTGAAGTTCAAGGAGGGAGATAAGAAAACGGCAGAAATTTATCTCCCCGTGCTTGCTTTCATAATCGGCAGAAGAATTTCCCGCGATAACCCAGATAAAAGCCAATTGGCGCTTTACCGAATTATACGCGCGGAATGATATCACTGAGCAGCGAAAAATCGATTTTTCATCGACATAAGATTTTGCCGATGGTTTCCTGTAGATTTCGGGCCGCTAAACACGAATATTGGCGCAGAATGTCTCTATCACGTCAGAAAGACGATTTTGAGAAAGATTTTGAGAAAACAATTGTTAGTAAAATTGCTCAAAATCGCAATTTTAATATTTTTCGATAATTAATAACTCTGGACAAGAGTTAGTAAGAATTAATCATTATCGAAAAATGCAAAATCACGATTTTTTCCCAACTTTATTAGCAATTTTTTCAAAAATCTTAACATGACAGAGACATTATACGTTCAGAATTGTTCAGAATTGTTTTGTAACGACTTACTGAACCTCAAAGCAAATTTCGTGTTGCTCAGCGTATTTAGAGAGATTACAATTAATATAAACAATTATACATGTAATAAATGAATATCTGCTTAAACATACACACACAGATCTCGCTACCATCAATTATTTGTCCCGATTTAATCTGAAATAGCAATGTATCTTTCATTATGCCGCGAAATCGCGTGGGATGACGTAGCATAAAGGCTGCCCTCTAATTAACGATCGGCCTTGGTCGAGAATAAATAAGGATTACCGTGGCCCTAGACGACGTTGCAAGAGGGTGTGATGTGTTTTGCAGTCTGGGCGCAGAGTGACTTCAGGGACGAGACCAACGGGGGCCTTGCGAGGCTCGACACCACGGGTCACGGCGCCCACACTCCCGGCGGTAGTAACCCTAGCACACCGGGAGCGACCCCCACGACACCATCCGGTGGATTCTCCACCGCTCAGCCGAGGAACCGCACAAACACCACTCATAGGCCAGATATTCGAAAAGGTATGTTTCTTCTGCGTAAGGATAACAGAATACGATCTTCTTTATATTTCCCGTGCGTGGCAAAATCGTGAGATGAGGAGTCATTATCGTACCGTCATATCTAAAACTACGCTAAGAAAATATTCTAAATTGCCAGAAACAAAAGATTCTCGAAGATTAATGGAAACTTATATCAGTTTTTGATAATGCCGATGACGGGTTTCAAGTCAAATTTAAACAATTTTTTGTCACAGATCCAAAATGATAGGTAATATAGCAAATTTTAATTGAAATTTGACGATAGTTTACAATAAATGTAAGCATTTTTTAAACTATCTGAATATTATATTTAGTGCATTGTAAAACTGTAACATAACATCTCATGACGTAAACATTCGAAAATTCGACAAATTCTCATTTTTCTGATAGCCATATCTTTTTTCCGAGATAACATTTTGCAAATCGAACTTAAAAATTGTACTCACCAAGAATCCCTAGTTATACTTTGCTTCAATAATAAAATTACTTAGGGGTTATAATATTTAAAAAAATATTTCACGGCGAGTAAATGCATCTTTTTCCGCGGTAATAAATGCAGTCTAAAATGGCGAAAATTCTCGTCATTGGCAATTAATATCAATATCTTTCATACCGGTTATTATATTAATTGTGGCTAATACCGAGATTATTTTATCTTATTAGTTATACTAGCGTAATGATACTTTTGACATATGTACGCCTGACATATACGTTTCAAAAATCATACGAGATCTACGTGAATTTCGTGTATCCACAATCACTCGTAATTCAAAGTTCGACATTAGACTCCGCATAACGAGAGACGTATTTGCGAATCAAAATTTAGTTCATGGCAGAGAGAGAGAGGAGTTTCGTCCGAGGGAGGACGCCATCCGCTCTCACGTTTACACGGAGTTCTGGGACGAATGCGCGGAATGGTGGATGGCGCGGTAGATGGGAGGCGCGGAAAAGGTCGCCTACGTTTGTTTGCACGTTTGTTCGGCACTTAGCCGAAACGTTCTCACCCGCGTTCTAAATCCCCGCAAATTGAAATATCACCCTGAGTCTTACGTTCCCGGCTAACAACAAACCTCCGCCGCGCATTTCACTTCATCCGTTGTAATATTCGATGGAGGAGGCGCCAGTCACTCCGCGTGCTTCTCAACGCGAGTCCGTCATATTTTCTACCGCAAAGACGCGAAAGCTGTGTAAACGTAATCGGATCGCCCCCTCGATACATCAAACATCTCTGATATCATGACATTTTCTTAGATATAAATTAAAAAAAAAAATACATATATATATATGGTGTTACGCTCGTGTCAAGCTGCCTTGAGTTACGTACAAAACGTATTTATAAATTAAAAAAGAAATATATATTCTTTTCATCTATATAAGTAATTCATTGTTGTATAATTTATATAAAATTATATGGATAATTTTAAACCCCACGAATTGTAAATTCAAAGAGAAGTCTCCTCTTTTAATCGATGTTTTCTCTTGTTACCGCTCTTCTTCGGAATTAAACCGTTCCTTCGAAAGACTCTTCATTTACTATCGGTTTTGTTCGACACGCTTTTAATGGTTTTATCGAGGATATGATACCTTAACACTTTCCAGGTGTACGAACACACACAGAAGTAAAACACGAATTGGGTGCCGGCGGCGGTGTCGTTTCTCCCGGAGTGGTCGGGGTCAACGATGCCGACGACAAGGACGGCAAGAAGAACAAACGGCAGAGGCGACAAAGGACGCATTTTACGTCGAGTCAGCTTCAAAATTTGGAGGAGACCTTCATTAGGAACCGGTATCCGGATATGGCGACGAGGGAAGAGTTGGCCGTTTGGACGAATTTGACGGAAGCTCGAGTCAGGGTAAGCAGACTCATCGCAATTTATTATCGGCAATCTGAAATTTTACCACCGGAATCATCGCGTATCTTTTAATCCGAAGTGAATTTCCGGAAGGAGACGATTCCAATGATGACTAATCGAACTGACCTCAAAGGTTGAGATAATCATTTAGAAATCTAACCTTTTAGAAATCATCATTTGGAAATGCATTAATAAATTTAAAGAGAAATAGTATATACGTGACTAATTAAGAGTTAATGCAAATTAATACATCAGGTTTAAATTCAAGTTTACTTCTGAAATATTTTGGTAACGCATCGCTTTCATTTCGAACAAACGTTGTGTTCCGAAACACCAGCGATCTCGAGAATTGTCTTCTCAGGAATTGTGCCTCGAGGAATTTGAGCTCGTGGCTCATAAAGCGGTAGTGGGCTCTCACAATGGGCGCATTGAGACGTCAAGATATCGATTACAAAGGCAACAATCCGTTAACTTCGGATGATATCCCAACGTCTCGCTGGGATCAGTCTGCGAAAGACTGCACCGGGCAGACACAAGGGCGCGATGTAATTTTAAACATCATCAGACGCTCTCAGTCCGAGAGGACGCTTTTACTCGCGTTGAGAATTTCTCTTAACAATTTCCACCCGATCGTTTTGCGTGAATCTACATTGACAACAAATCATGCGATCAGACGACGATCAAGCGACGAGAAAGATCTCACAACGTCTCCCACGTAAACTCGTATCGTTGCTTATATACGGTGAGGAAAGGGTTGCCGGGGAAAAAATCCGCCTGCTTACAACAAAGCTCCGCCGGCTGAGTTTCTAAGCTCCGAAGAAGAAGCCCGAGTCTCGTATACAAACGGGCCGATTCGAAAGGACCGCGCGCTATAATGACCCGGGGCAGCACAGCAGGCGGTATAATAACGTCTTCTCCCCGGGAGCACTTCCGAAAGTTCGCGAAACGGAGGGTCGCCGGCGACCAAGTGGCGGCGGCGTCCGAGAGGAGAGGAGACCCGAGCGGGAAAGTTCGCAAATCCGAAAACGCTTTATGAATCCCCCGGCTGCGTCTCTGCCACTTGATTCGCGAACAAACGACGGATCGCACGCTCCAAGTCCGAGAGACTTCGAAGCGGATCAGCCGAGAGCGGCGCGGACACGCTCCTGAAAATCCCGGACGGCCGGACTCTCTCTCTCTTTCTCTCGCGCGTCTCAGAGCACCGTTCCGGTGCTCCGCGCGAGACGAAACCGTGGACAAAGTGTGTGCGTGGACAAGGCGCGGGAGGACGCGGGAAGAGCGGACAGATAGGAGGTCACACGGGGAAAGAGGTGAGAGTGCCGCGCGCAGGCCGCAGGGGAGGCTTTGCGCCAGTAAGCCCCGGTGGATTTATAGAACCACACACAGCGTGGTACGGTGTTCCCGCCACGGTGCTATACGCCATGTACCAAAACGCTGCAGATCCCCCGGCCGTCGCGGTACCGTCGCCGCAACCACCGCCGCCGACGACACCGCGTCGCTCGTTCGCAAACTGTAACGTCGTTATGGAGACATTCTTCATTTTAAACCTCCCTTCGCGCGTGCACTTCACCTGCGAAGGACGTCCTTTCGCGCGACCTTCGTTAGCTCGGAGCTTAACTTGTACCCTTCGACATAATGGGAGGATAATAGGGCCGTATTTCAGGAGACGCTTATGCTTTCACTCAGACTCGCTCCGGTTCACCGCGAACGGCTGAACAATGGTTTCTTCCTTTTCGGGAAACGTTTCACTGACTATCGTCACGCCGGGACGGTTTCGAACGCGGGTGTAGATCCTCCGGACATCGTGACGCGTGATCATAGGATCGACGGATTCTTGTAAGAATGTCTCGACTGCGAGATAACAGCGTCGCAGCGTCGTCACCTTAGCGCAAGGGCTCATTTTCTCAGCGTGACGTCATGGAAATCCCCGGCACCGGACGAAAGATCCGGAAACGTCATATTGGAGAGAAGAACAGAAGAGAGACGCGCTGGAGAGTCGGAGAGAGGAGCACAGCGAGCGAGACCAGAGTGTAAAGAGAGACAAAGAGGCAGAGAGAGAAAGAGAGAGACGGAGGGGGGGGGGGGNAGAGAGAGACGGGGGGGGGGGGGGAGGAAAAGAGAGGTCGAGCGCGAAGCTGGGTACAGTTATCTGCAAAGAGGCAGGCGTATGTTTCGGTCGGTGGCAGCAGAGCGCGGCTGTCCGAGATAATCCGCCGGTGATTAAGACCATAAATCCATCGGCGGATTAGTATGGTTGCACCGCACACCTCGTGGCGGCGCTGGCTGGTGCACGGGAGTCGCACTGTGGCTCCAGGCTCCAGTAGCGGTGCCACATACACACACACACACACACTCTCTCTCTTTCTACTCTCTAGATCTCTCTCATTCCTCTTTCTCTCTCGCTCTCTTTCTCTTCTCCGTCCAATTCGCGCTCCATCTCACTCTTTCTCGCGCAATCATCCACATCCTCTTTGGAGCCCTGATCGCGACCGACACACATTCAGGATATGCGTCTGTATACCTCCGCCCGCGGAGGGTGAAGGGATTGCACGTGCGAGAGAGAGAGAGAGAGAGAGATAAATACAGAGGGGGGAGAAAGAGAGAGAATGAGCGGGAGAGAGGAACCGAGCTTACACGCCATGGGAATGGGAAATGGGACGCCGCGGAATATAGGTGGACACTAACCGGTATGAGAGTGAGGATTACCGGGTGTCATCCGTATTCGGCCGGGTTAGCGGCTGTCAGCGGCCAATGCTATCGCTATATATCAATTATTACCTTTGGCCGCGCTGTGCAACGCTCGGCTGCATTCCGGTGCACGGACTCCGTTGCCGCAGTGCACCGCCCGCTCGCCCGCCCGTCCACCCGCGCGTATCTCGCTCGCGTCCGCGAGCCGATTTGCATCGCGACGTATGCAAACGCGCCGCGACCGCGCCTCTCGCATCTCCGCGCGCGCTTCCACGCGGGTTACGCGGGTTTAACGTCGAGCCCGCGTTGGCTGGCTGGCTGGCTAGCTGGCTGGCTGGTTGGTCGGCCGTCGTTCTGGTTCGCGCGTCGCATTCGCCGGCTCGTAAGTTCTGCTGAACGCTGCTGCACCCCCCCTGCCGAGCGATACGGCGAAAGACTAGTGACAGCGCTCGTGTAATGAGCGGTATAGTTGCAAAATGTGCGGCAGTAAGTACGCTAGGATTGACGTGTGGGCGTATAGCAATGATAGAACTCATGTAACGTTCGGGAGCACTGAGACTCGTATAATGAGTGAGCAGAAGTGGTGACGCTCGTATAACAAGCTGTAATAATAATTGATGGCTTAAGGTAGCTTTGATACGTTTAACGCGCGTGATGATGCGTCTCGCCGTATGATAAAAGTAACCCGGCGTAAGATTCAATTTAAGGCTAGGCGCCGTAAGTTTTGATCCCGCAAAAGGCTCCCTTTGGACGGCACCGAGTTTAGAGTGGGTCGAAGCGGAGATACGATCGGCTTTACGGTAATGTCCGAGAGTGGCCGTTTTCAAGTTAATATCACGTTGAACGAGATGAAAAATGGCAAAGGGCGAGCCGCGTGTACTCCACAGGCGAATCAGGATTCGAATCGGCGGCAGTTAATCTTCCATCGGGCATTGTATTTTTGACACGGAGGGTTGCAGTGCGTTCCGCAGTTTTGTCGGAAAATTTCAGAGCTCTGCAGTTTTGAAAACGCATACCATCGCGCGGATACTACGAAATATGTCGCGCGAAGTTTGACACGTTATTATATTTTTCATTATAAGTCGATATTCGTTATAACGGTAATCGAATTTGAATGGAGGAAAAGATATACGGTAAAAGAAACCATTTTTGTATTTGTGTTAGATTCGGTCCTTGTTAAAATTTGTTTGTTAAATTTTTAACTTATCCGTGCGTTAATTTAACACTTGTATATCGTGTTTACGTTATCTCAATATTTTGTATTGAGTCGATATTCAACATGTAAGTTTTAAATTACACATTTTGTATTTCTCAATGTCGTTTAATATATAATGAAACATTTTGGGTGGTTAATTTTGTATTAATTTCTATCGTAATATTTGCGTTATTTTTCAACATATCCATCTTGTATTGAATCAACACAAAAGCTTGTGCGGACCGTTCAGGACATGTGAAATGTGTTAAGTTTAACTCGAAATTTACTGTGTAGTACTAGAAATACCAATGGACAATGTTTGACATGTATCGCCACGTAGTCGAAATTTCATCAGCCTGAGCAATATTATATCTTAATTATCTCTCTTTCCTTTTTCTCAATATTTCCTCATAATCTCACGCACTCGATGCATATCTCGCGTTTGAGTTCAAAGTCGGGCAAACCGCACAGATTTTCGGATAACCGCGGCCGATAAATCATTCTTCCAGTGCCGACTGCGTTTATGTCTATCCCGATAAGAAGTGTTTGCGATTTTTAACAGTCAGTGATTTTGATTTGCGGAGACTGCTGCGCCTTGTTCGGAATAAAATAATAATGCGCTGAAAATAGGGATTTGGTAATAAGTAGTAAAATTTGGTGTATACTTGTCGACCAAATATCTGATTACTGTAACCAAATGATTTCGTTCCATATACTGTACATACAGTACTGTAGTTTCGCATATCGTACATTTAGTATGCGGGACTTAAATTATTTGGTTGTAGTAATCAAATATTTGGTCGGCAAATATTCACCAAATTTTAGTACTTGCGTTACCAAATCCTTTTTTTCAGTGCGCGATGGAAATGTTATTTACGTTTAATATTTGCACAAATAATTGACGTGCAGCGCGTCACGCGTTATAAATATCCGGGGCCGTCCTATTCATCGGCCGATCTATCCCGATGCTTTTCGCTGATGACTTGTTTAGCGATGTAAGGAAAGAAACGAGGGACGAGAGAGCCACCCGTAATCCCGAAGCTCCAAAACGCGATAAATTCGCCGCGACCGCGCCGATATCGCGGAGAAATCGCCGCCCGATCCCCACGGCGGTTAA